AAAGATAAGGCCCAAAATTTAGCCATGAAAACAATGAGGAGAGCAAAGTGGACAGGACACTGCTGCGAACAGTAGTTGGTACACAGTGGAATTAAGGAACCTGCACTTGAGGCCAAAATGAGCTGCACTCACCGTCCAGTTGGTGTCCCTGAGTGAAGGCTGCATGCGCTGACTCATAGTTGTTCAGGTGATATTCGGCTATTCTGCAGTTGGGCGAGAAAAACATGCCACATGAACTTAGATCAGACAATCTTGGAAAAATAAACGCAGCTTTATCTGACAAACAACATCTGTATGATTTACCGTGTTAAAGCAAAATGTTTTGGTAGTTTTTGTGGATTAACTTCTGAGGAAGCGCAGAAATCAGACTTTTTACTAGTATAACTTTAAAAGTTTCCGACAATTCTTACATTGCAAGGCGTAAAACGTTAAGTTTTACATAATGCAACCACACCAAACTTATATTGTGACCAAGTAATAAGAACAATAAAGAAAAAAATATAAAACATAGTTACAAATTGCTTTACAAAACATGATAAATATATAAAAACAAAGAGGCAACAAATTAAAACAAGGCATAAAATCTGAACATGCTGTGTGAATAACAGGTGAATAAACACAACAAAAAGAAATAATAAAGGGGCAGTAAAAATAGATTTTCTATGAAAACACTCAAACACCTGTGTAATGAGGGTATTGTGGGAACCGTTAGAATTGTCTGACCCGACAAACGCAGCCAGTCGCTCAATTAATACCAACCAACTAAATCGACAGTGCGGGTAGGATGAGCCCATGCATGGTTTTAAAGTAACAACAAATACAACTTTAATAAAAGCTTCAAATCAGCTCAACTTTAAATCACTTTGTCTTGTCTCTGTGAATTTGTTTTGAATGAGATGAAGGCGGGTGACTGAATTTTGTCTGAGACCCGAGTAGAGTGGATTACAATAGTTCAAACATGATGAGACGAAGGCCAGGATGACTCCTCCAAGGCCCGCTTGACATGAAGAATGTGAAAAAGCATGACAGTACGACCTTGGTGACTTGTGTGTCAAAACAAAGCTTTAACTGAAGTTTGTTTGATGGACGAGGACAGGTTTTCAAAATTTTCCTTTAAGTTAGGGGTCAGGTTTGGGGTGTGGGGGGAGCACTGAACAAAAGGCCTTCAGAATTGAAATCACTGAGCTGAAAGACGTTTTGTGACAACCGTCAGATAACATCAGAAACATGAGCCATACACAGCATGTTTCATCCCATCTTGTCAATAAAGCTGGCTGTGCGTTTGTGTCAGAAGGGATAATTTTTTAATCAATTAAACTATATGTTTTAATTATTATTTTTGTTAATTTACCTTTTTCTTTTTTCTTTTTTTTTTTTAAGTGGTGAGATGAACATATCAAACGGTGAATGAAGTGCAGTCTAAACTGAGCTAAACATCTGCATGCCAGGGTGGACCCCTGTGGGTTAGGTTGGTTATTCTGAATAGGCCATGGATGTGAGGAAGGCCCACAGTGTTTTTTAAGCTTTGTAGTGTAAAGTATATTTGTACATTGCTTTTAAAACTAACCACACCTGCGAGCACTATTTGGGGATTGTCCTCACTTGCCATTTTGCCCCTTTTAGAAAATTTGACCCTATGGGTGGTCAGTCAGGCTAGAAAACTGCTATGTAAAGGCGTGCATTTCACAGTCCATACCCTGTGCGCATGAAAGCAAGGGAGAGGCTGGGTTTTAGCTGTTGTGCTTTCTTGGCGTCATCAGCAGCACCTGTGGACACGAAACAAAAATAAAAAAATTACTGTTTCTTTATGCAGTGCATATGTCCAGGCTAAGTCACATGCAATGTAAAACCTCAAAAGCTAAACAACAGGTATTTGTAATGCTCACATAATGTTCATGCACTTCATAATGCATCAAAAATGCTATTAGTGTGGTCTGTTTCCACATGTGCTGTGCAGACTTACAGCTGTAGTTCTTGAGCAGTATGTGGGCATAGGCACGCTGACAAAACCACTCAGCGTTGTCTGAGTCTCCTTGTAAGGCCTCGTTAAGCTCCTGAAAATAATAACGAGGTTGCCATTATTGTATAAAGGGCTTAAAATCGTGTTTTCAGCTTCAAGAATTGTGGCAAGAAAGAAACTTCTAGAAAAATGCTTAAATCGAAAGTAGCGCTGTTATGCATCTGCAACTTTCACTTTCGCAGTCGGATATCTTTACAGAACAAGCAGTTCTCCGTAAATCTATTCGAATCTGTGTTATTCCTGCAAACCAAACTGTAATGATTTTCATAATACTGCCCCGGTTAGTCACATAAATAACCGTAGATTCACCAGAGGCTTTTAAAACAGCAGAAATAAACTTCACTGGTTTAGTCTGTTCACAGTTGACACCAACTTCATGTCAGGATGACAGGGCTAGTATCCAGCAAGCAGACTATTTCGAGCTAACGTTATGTAGTAATACCTCCTCACACATGAGACATATTTAATTCTTAATGGTATTAAAGAAACAGGTGACCGTTTGATATGATAACGAAGCGATTCTGGGATTACTTTTATTCATAACTAAATAGGGCTAGCAAACATGTTGGCTAACTTCGCTAGCTTGTTGGTAATATCAGAAACACAAACACCACGGGTATTACTCAATTTCCTTTCTAGAGTAAGTCCACTGAATTTAACGTTAAATGGACATCCTGCAAGAGCCACCGTGCATCGCGCAAACTTGTTTGTGGCTAACTGAGACTAGTGTTTTACCTGCAGAGCTTTCTGTGGATCTTCGTCAATGAAGCTATCGGGGAAGCTGCTAAAAGCAACAAAAAAGCAAGTTAGCGTTAAATAACCGAAAGAAAAGAAATGTCTGCTGCTATAAGAACAGTTCATTGATAGATTTCGATGAACTTACCGTTCGGTTGCCATCTGCTTCTGTGGATGTGCACTGTTTCTAGAGTGACAGGAAAGTTCTAGATGTGGAGACTACGAGAAACGTGATAGCGGTAACAGTTACAGCTCAAACACAGCAGAGAGCCTGTCAACATCCGGCTGCGCACAGCTCATACTGCCTCTACTCCCCCTAACGGCCCGGAGGAGTTATTGCAAAATAGCGATAACTTTTTTTTGTTTGTTTTTTTGTTTTTTTAAGGAGACGGTTTTCTGGACAGCGAATTAGGCCGCAGATCTGTCAAAGAATAGAAACGTTTAAATTGAAACTGGGTACGGTCAGCCACCAACAAATTTATAATACCATTAATGAAAATAAAAATGGGGTTAATATAATATAAACACAAAAGACTAAGACTTTCTCAGACTGTCAGGAAACATAAATGATACAATATATCAAAGAATTACGGAGACATGGCTAAACTCAGTCAGACTTCAGTCAGACTTCCTGTGAGAGCTGTGGTACAATGAACCTATTATGTTAGCACAGAAATGTCCAGTGATTCATTGGGAGGATGAAATGCTCCAAGATCAGCTGGATCTGTAATCAGACAGAGAACAACGGAAATAAGACAGAGAATCGGCTGTGGGTTGTAATGTTGACAAATTTGTGTTGCACGTCTCTTTAAGGAAATAATGCAAGACATCCATTCTAGGTAGTCGTGTGCATTATTAACGTTCACATCTGGAAAACAAGGGGTAAAGTAGCTATTTGATCAAAAGATAACTACCAGTTACACTGCATGTGTTTAAAAATATTGTTGCTGATCTCAGGAGGAGGAAAACATTTGGACTGAAGAATACTCCTCTTCCCTGGGACATTTTAAGTATTTAGTGTTATCTATCCTTGTACATGCTTTATGTATGTGTAACATGTAACATCCTGTTGCGTATGTCCACAAAGACCAGCAGGTCAACTGATCACAGCCGTTACACTAAGAAAATCTGCTGGAGCTCACAGAAGAAATTATTGTGAGTTCTCATTCTTTTCCCCACACTAAACCTCTACAGTGGATTTTGGGGTTTCCCCATGTGCAGAATCCACTTTAACCCTCTCGAGGCAGGCGTTGCCAATTTGAAACAGTTAAAAACTAACAACCTGATTACCCCACATACATATTTTATGAGTTTTTTTTTACTCAGAAGTACCACTGCAGGACTTGGTTGTGCATTAGCAACAAAAAGTTTAATTTGAGCCTGAGAGGGTTAACCCCTGACTGTACACATTTTCTTGTTTAGAGGAAAAGTCACCCTCTACACTGCAGGCAACACAAAATAAACTTCTTCTTTTTCTATGTTCATGTTCTGCATACTTGATTCAAGTTGAATACATTCATTAGAAATAAAATTTAGATCAGGAATTATATAATAAAGACTGCATTGCCATGTACTACTGTCACTTTATTATATTACTATAGCTCAGTTAGCTTTGCACAAAAATAGCTGGTATAGAAATGTCCTCCAAAGAGCTACTTTACTTTGAGTACATTTCAGAGCCTGTACTTTTCACTTCTACTTGAGTAAAGAAGTCAAATCAGTACTTTAACTTTTACCAGAGCACTTTTTAACAGAGGTATCTGCACTTCTGCCACCTCAGATTAGCATCATTGGTATGTTAAAAAGACTGGTGGTCGCCATTGCTAAGCCACCTACAATCTCCTCAATGGTATCAATTTGAAAAGCCTATGTGACATTTTTCTTCAGTTACTTTATTCACAAGATTTTCACAGAGCTTGACCTCTGACAAGGTAACAGAGATGCAAACTATGGTATCAGTTGGAAAAACCTACATCAGCTTGTTCAGTGTTAATGTGTTAATTCAAAAAACAACTTCGCCAAATCAAAAATATAATTAACACCTTTCTGACAACAGCAAAAAATAAAAATAAAAACAAACTGATCGTGTCAGAATTCTGTAGAAGTAGTTCTGGCAGATCTGTATCATTGCATTAGGCCTTTACTAATAAAGCAGCAGTCGAACGCACTGCTCAAATGTGACATATACACTCATCATGTCTACTGATGCTCCGAGTCTTTCAAAGGAACAATGATGGATTTCACACAATGACAAATGTAAATTTATTTCATATAATAGACGATTAGCTTTAACATCACTGGACTGCATGAAAGCAAACACAATACAGCATAAAAAACAAAAACAAGCTCCATGGAGGGAGCTTGTAGCAGAGTGAGCTCTGCTACAAGCTTACAAATCTATTAAGGTAAGACATTACCAGGACACACACTGAAAAGCAAGGGGCAAAAAACCCCAAAACAAACAAACAAACATGGTTTAACAAAGTGAAAATAGTTCTGCATAAGAGTTCCCTGCAGGCACAGTTACTTTATAAGCATCTCTTTGCCAAGTTTAGCCTCTCAAAAAGCCAGCCTAACTTTCAGTCGTTTTTTTTTTTTTTAAATTTGGAGTGAGGTGAAGTTTGTAAGCCAGCTTCGTGAGCCTACGCTAAGACCGGCCAAAGAGAAAATAATAAACTAACAATTTCACTTTTACTTCTTGCATAGAGTACATAATATGTGCAGCACAAAAATGCTTTATAAACCTGAGGGAAGGAAAAAAAATGGCATCAAAAGAACAAGTCAGGCGCTTTCACAGGTATACAGTACACAAAGATCAGCCAAAACATTAAAACCACCAGCCTGGTAATATGTAGGTCTGCTTTGTGCAGAGATGCCGCTACTGGCGCCTTCTGCAACGCTGAGCTCGATGCTAAACCCACGTCAATGCCAGCCAAACATTGCACTGTAACGAAATGACCAATGTTCACTTCAGCCAGCACAGTGGTTTTAATGTTGAGGCCCTACAGTGCGTAATAGACGCATACAGATAGAGGATTCTGAGTTTAATATATGCACTCATATATGGATAGCTAGTGCACAAGGGAAAAGCTAAATAGTAGCACTGTCATTTTACAGGAGGCAGGGTGGCTACAAGGCCACTTCACTGGTGATTGTCATGAAGAAAATAGAAAAAAAAGAGTCCAATGGTGTCGATAAACAAATAATAAACAGCGCAAGTGCTAAAGTACTACTTTGAAAAAAATAACAGTGATCCCTTGTTTTCAACATTTCACAATGCAGACAAAAAAATGCAGCAATCTTAAAAAACAACAACAATAATAATAACAATAACAATATGGAATGTTTTCCCTTATGATTACCAGGAATAGGATGGACTGACATCTTCAGGCACTTCAGAAGAAATATACAGCAGAGGTAAACATTAGTGCAAAGCCACTTTTAAGGCAAAGGAATGCTTCAGCACGTGATAGCATAAAGACACAAAACTAAACAACGTAGGAGAAAGTGAGAGCAAAAGGCAGAGACGAAGGGCACAGTGTGGTGATAAGATAATTGCTTCCAGGACACTGGAGCTGAAGTGCAAGCAGAGAAAGTGTCTGCAGGCAGTGCAGAGAGGCCAGAGATTCCAGTGCATGTCTGTCTTTGGTGTTGGTTTAACAAAGGGCTACACAGAATGACAATAAGGCGAAATGATCAGATTTCAAAGCTGAGAAGGTAAACTGCTGTGAGATTTTGGTTCCTGTCAGCGCTGCGAGAAAGCACTGATCTGTACTTATGATCTAAAATAATATTCTACATCAAAAGTCCCTTTGTTTTTAAATCAGCATTGTCATAGCAAAGTGCAGCCCTGTAAGTGGTCCTGAGTCAGTGGAGTGTACAGGCATCTGTGTGTTCAATAGAAGGTGGGCACCTGTTATTTGTATTGGTCAGAGCTAATCAGAGGCATAAGCTGTGGAGTTTTTGGTCCTGGGTGCGACTTTTTCTCGGCCATCTCCGGCGCACCTTTTCTCCCTATGGCCACCTCGGCAGAGGCAGCGGCCTGCCGCTCGCACAGACTCCCCAGCAGCTGAGCCGTTTTGAAGACTGACGCATGACCGGCGGGTTTGAGAGACTGGACCTTTTGCAGGTTCTGGAGCGTGCGTAGCATCTCAGCCGACACGATAGGCAGATGCTGTTCCTGGATCAAACTGGAGCTGGTGGGACGCAGGACGGTGTCGCGCTGAGCTGAGGGCCTGGGAGCGGGCCTGGTGCGCTGTGAAGCGGGAGTGCGGCCGGAGACGGGGAACGATTTCTTTGGCGGTGGCTGAGAATCTTCCTGCTCCTCCGCTGAATGGTCACTAGACGATACGGTACTGTCAGAGTCGTCGCTCAAGCCTTCGTCGTTGACGCTGTTGTCATCGTGGTCCTCGTCGTCTTCCTCTTTGATGCCATCTCCATCGGTGATGTAAATCATGTCTTTGGGGAGAGAGGTGAACTGGTAAACGAGGCGCTGGCCTTCAACCTTATTCAGTATGCCTCTCTGGTAGTAGTACCTGCATGGAAAAAACAGAAACCGACAGCTTTCAAACCTGCTACAGTTTTTAATTATTCACGTCTCATTTGTAAAATCTCAAATTAAAATGACAAAAAAACTCTTTTTTTTTTTGTCAAAAATATATTTTTGACTCTTTATCGATGCATTTTAATCCTGTCTTACTGAATACAGAATACCGTTTTCTTGGTGTACTGTGATTAGGTTCCATACCTGCCCCTTTCTTACTAGCCTAGATTGGATAAACAGTTGCATTTACATGCATAAATTAAAAGTTAAATGAGTTAAACTGAACGGGTTTAAAAATGAAAAAAGGTTAAATTAGTACTGACAAGCAGGATCAAACTCGAGTAGACTGTACAATAAGCTTCCATTTGATTTTATTAAGCACTACTATTAGACCTGTCATAAAAACAAGAAAACACAAATATTTTGAAATCTGCCAAAAGTTTGTTTAAAACTACAAATGATATTGTTACGTGTTAGACAAACAGCAAACTCAAGTCACCTTTTTATACCCAAATTTGGGGCAACACACCGGACTTTTCTGAGAAGCCGGCAACGAATCAGGCATATTGCTCAAGCACTAAAACTATTTTTTATGTTCAGGAATGTAAGTAAATAAGCATTATTTGGCATCTTAATCAAAAAGTAACAACATTGTGCTCTGTTGAAAATTCATGACTAACAACAATTATTGTATTTCAGCATTAAAAATATCATTTTTAATGCTTTAATGCTTGTGTGTGCTCATAGACTAACATTAAAACACAAACGTTAAAAAATAATTTTGCTAATTAACAATACTGCTAATTTAGTGGTATTCTAATAAATTTGTTAAACATTGTAAACTGAATGATTACTTCACACTCTTAAATGTGCCATTACTTGTACAAAGCCAAAGCTAGGAAACGTGTTAATGGCTGTTTATGTCTTTGCTTTCAAGTTGTGCTTAATAAAACCCCCCGAGTTAAAATGTAGGAAAATTAGCATAAATGACCTTAAAAGGCACTTTTGACATCTATGATTGTTCATTATTATTTATTTATTTTTTTAAATTACAGAGAGAGAAATTTCAAAGAACATTACAATTCTATCTGGGAGCTGCTGTGTTGTACCTGAGTGCTCTGCCCATTGTCTCATAATTCATATCTGGTTTGTTTTTGTGTTTGCCCCACAGCCTGGCCACTGCTTTTGAGTTGACCAGCTTGAAGATCCCCGCTTGAGGATTAGTCCATTTGATGTAACGAGGGCAGACTTGTCTATCTTGCAGCAACTCCATCAGGAACTGCCACAGGTAAAGGGTGTTTCCGCCTAAAGCGCATGAACGAAAAAGAAAAACAGCAGATGAGATTTGGGTTAAATCACTTTGGTGAAGACCTACTTTCATAGCACGCTTCCCCAAAACAAGCACAGTTGCATAATTTTACTTGCAGAACTTGGTAGGGGTGAGGTGCACACACATTTATATCATTTCAGGTGCAGTCAGGTGACTTGTGCTGTGGCTTTATAGGGAACAAGGTCTTGCTCTGTTTGACAATACCTTTGTTGTATTTGTCCTTCTTTACTGTAATTTCTGGCGTGGGAGACTCTGCTCTTCGATGTCGAGGTTTCCTGCCTGCACACACAGGCAGTCCAAAGTCAGTCACAAACATTTTACCCTCGAAATTCTACCCGTACAAGAAGCTGAGCAGGAAAGTTACTGACTTTTCTTTTTGGACCGCAGCTGCGACGCAGGCTTGTTTCTGTGCAACGACGACCACTCTGACTGATTGACAGTTCCCACAAGCTCCTCCCCCACAACAGGAGTAGTGATGACATCGCCAAGCGATGGTAAGAAGGTCTGCGCTGCAGGGGTTCAGAAACAGATTTGCTAAAAAAAAACAGCAGCACTGTAATGCCTAAAAATAAAATCTTGCACCAAAATAATCAGGAAACAGCATGCTCGAGGTGAACACAGCCGTGCTTACAGTAGTGTTCCAGGGACAGGGTGTCAGCGCACTCCATGTTGAGTAACGAGTCAGGAGAGACAAGCGTCTCCATGCTCTCTTCCTCCCCACTTTCACATGGCTCCACTACAAAAAATAACAACCACAAAGAATTATCAAAGAGTAAAACTTGTTTTTGTTGATGTAAAATTGGAGTGTGTCCAATGCAAATAGTTACAACTATATAACAGTGAGCTACTAAACAGCGTTTCCAGGTTCTCCTTAGTAACTGCAGATGTAGTTTCTATTTACAAACTATTAGGGGTTTTCTTCTTATTGTTGGGAGAGGCATCAAAAACGTTATTGAGATAAAACTAAACATGCAAAGTTTAGCAACAATTATAATGTTTAGAAATTTGGCATAAATGAATATGAACATCACGGCATTAAAAACAGACTGGACAGTTCTGTGGTAGAAGTCGAAACATGTGCTTTTGGACACTTGAAACTGTTGTCAGTAAACTCAACTGCTTTCTAGCCACAAAGGTTAAAACCACCATGCATATATATATATATTTATATATAAAAACCCTCAACATATTAGCAAATTTTAGAAAGGCTTCCGCTCTCTGGTTCGAGCTTACTCCTACATAGGGCTTTTTTACTCTAGTAGAGCACTTTATACATACATGTCTCATTCACACAAGTATTTTTTTCTATGGCAAAGTGCATTCTGTCTAACATTCACACGCATTCATACTTAGCTGGACAGACAACAACTTCAGGTTCAGTATCTTGCACAAGGGTACTTTGGCAACCAGACTGGAGCAGCCAGGAATCAAACTGTCAACCTTCCAATTAGTGGAAAACTACCTTCTGAGCTACAGTCACCTCTGTGACATGACAACAAAAACCAGCACATCTGCAAGGGCATCACTAACACTGAGTCAGATAAACAGGTTTTGAAGGACAACATGATGACTAACAATTTTTGTTTCACCAAGACAATCCAGACAATGTTCTTCACATGTTACAACAGCGTGGATCACTAGTAAAAGAGGGTGGCTGTTAAACAGGCCCGTCTGCAGTCCAGACCCACCATCCATTAAAACATCTGAATACATTTTAAAATACAACACAGGCATCAAACTGCTGAAATTCTTTATCAAATTTCATTTTCCAAACAAATTTTAAAAATGACAATAATAATAAGAGTGAATTCTCGCAGAATGTTTACAGAGATTTTTAATGCACGAGTGATGCTTATATATACTATATATAATAGATGTATATCTAATTTTGAGGGTAAATTATGAAAGACAACATTTCGAACTGCGTAATTCGCATTTGGTAATCCAAATATAAGCTATTTTTTGAGCTGTACTGATGTGAATAATTTTGATGACGTTTATATGTATTTATTCATTTGCTTCCTTTTGCAGGGTAAAATATATTTAATGAGCAGAATGCAGCATGGGTACATATAAGTACTGCTTATGCTCAAGCCAAGTCATGACTTAGTACACAAAGTTTATAGTTTATATGTGCTGCTTATGTGTGATGGCTGGATAAAAACAAACATCTGGCTTGTTTTTGCTATGCTGATTTCAGTTAAATAAAAAAAGGCTTACGTGATAATTGCACTCTGTTTTACACTTCCCTTCTTTTGGGAATGAAAAAGAAGAAGAAAAACACAAATACATTTAATTATTATGCAGATGCTACAAGCTCTTCCAGCATTAGTTCACTTTCATTAATGTTCACATCAGTAGCAAATGAAGCCAATTCTATAATTAATTAAAAAAACAAAACTAGAATAGAAGTCCAAAGAATATTTGCCTCCAAAACACAGCCGGATGGAAGAGCACAGAGTAAGCTGGAATTCTTACAGACAACAAAGAGCTTAGTGAAGTGCAGCTCTTGAGTAAACTCAATGACACAGAGTCTCGGTCACCGACTCCAAGCAGTTTGACCTCAAGTGCTTTCCGTCCAGGTAAATAACACTGACAGACTCATATTCGGGTGCTTGTTAGCTTCACAACGACGCTGTGCTGTCTAACAGCTTACATCTCCCCACGTGCATGTCCTCGAGGCTAAACATGATCAAAAGGGAATCTGCGTGTGTGTGTTTTTTTATGCGCATCTTGTTTGTGTGTGTGATGAGCTGCCCGTGAAGAAGCAGTGAGCTAGAAAACATCTGCTAGCTAACAGCTGTTTTGTCGTGGACTCGAAAACACTTTCTGCCGTCGGGAGAAGCAAACCCCACAGCCTGTCACAACAAACCGCCACGTTTAGAGAAACATACGAGATGGGCTGCTGTCCCAAAACGGTTGTAACGTTCAAGTAAAGTGTCTGTAAATTATCCACAAGTGCTGCTGTTACTGTGAGCTAAAGTTAACCGAGCCTCCTCCTCGCCATGCGTCGATTCAGCTGCTCCCTCCAACCTGAACACTGACGGAAATATAACCCGACACGGCGACATCACTTACTTTTCAAATGTTCGTGTGAGGAACAAGCTATAGCATGTGTGCTGTAGCTCGCTTTGACCACGTCTACATCCTAATATGATTCATTTAACTGTTGTTTCCCCCCCCAGGAACAAGCCAGGAATGTTTTCTTTTTTTACTTCCTGAATTTCAGCGGAGGGTGGTCCATGTGCGCGAGGGGCAGAATACGCATGTGCAAAGCAAGGCTGGTTTTTTTTTTCAAAACCGCGAATTACTTTTAATTTTTTTAAATAAAATTTGAATAGAAACTTTCGTTTTCTTTTTGTAAAGAAAAAAAAAGAATTGCACCGTGTCGCAGACGACAGGGGATCTTCTATCATGAAATGTGAGCCTGACAGGTAAAGAAAGGCTGAAGTGAGTGCGTATGTCTTCGTGTGTGTGTGTGTGTGCTGACCTTTGACCAGCTGCTGGTGATCCTGTGACTGTTCACACGCTAGACCTGTATATGAAAACAGGTGTGAATGTGGAACCTGCTCTACAATCACCGCAGGGCAATCTGTGAAACCCCCCAGCTGCAGGACACAAAAACGGCATGAAATTAGACGACATCAGAAGTTTGCCAGCAATTCCACACAAAGAAGTTCATCACTGTCTAGCTCTGACTCACCTGTGACATGTTAAAGTGGTCACTGGCAAAGTCAAAGATGAGCTCTGACTGTTGCAGCATGGCTGAATGTCCCAAAGCACACGTACAAACTCTTAACTGGGCGAGGATAGCATCACAGCGTCCCCTTGAAGTCTGGTAAGAAGTGAAGAGGTCTGATGTGTTGTCGAATCAAGGCAGGTCCCGTTTCTGGAGACAATCCTTCCGATGAACACGCAGATAACTTGTCAGAGAACTTCCCCCTGGATGGGATGCAGCCTGCGTCCTTCCATGCAGCGAGGCTTGGTAGTGGTAGAGTGATGTGAGTGTAATTATTGACCAGAGATGCAGAGGCGTCACAGGAAGCGCTCACCCGCTCACTCTGCACCGGCTCTCAATGAGGAAGTGCTAAACTGTCCTGTGGTCTGACTGAACCTGCCAGAGAAGAACAGAGAGGCACACACAAAAATATGTGGGTGAGGTGGGGGAGTTGAAGAGCTGTTAGAGTCAAAAACAAACACCATGACCACACCTGCAGACGCTAAAATTAGGCTGTGAACAATTTTACTTTTTTGGGCATTGCCGAACATTTATTTATTTATGTGTTTGAAATGTCTCTGGTCTCAGATGCAGAGAAATGAACATCGTAATTTGCTTCCCCCCTCTGTCACACGTCTCATTCTTTTGCTCTTATCTGTCTTCTAAACTGGGCTAAACCAGCAACAGGAAGGAAGCGTTTGCAGTGAAATGTGTGTCTGGGCTGTGTGTGCAGTGTGAGTCGAGGGGGTTGGTTGGGTGGGTGACAACATCATGTCTTTGCACAATGTTCAGCTTTTGGCTTTCAGGGCCATTTTGTGCACATTCCTCACGACATGACCGTGAAGGGGACGTTTAGCACAAAATTGCAACCCCCCACTCAACTCCTTTGCATTACTCCCTCTCATTCTCTCCCAGTTGCTTGTTTTTCTGTCCCTCCTCTTGTATCTGGCCATCACAACATTGTTAATTCCCTTGAATTCCTTTGTCTTCCCTTTGCTTCTAATGCCACCCCTTCTCTTCAGTACTCGCTGTTTAATAATTCCCAAGTTTCGGTTAACCTTTAAGCGAATTTAGCAGTACAGCTGCCTCCTCCTGCAAAATTCTCCGAACACTGTTGCCACTCCGTCACTTACCTTCAGCATCATTGTTCTGAAGATCATCCCAACATTTAGGTTTTGTGGCACTGTGACCAAATGGCTTCAAAGATAATCCATTCTAAACATTCTAACCCTGTAAATCCTCTGTAACCTAAATAGTATCGCAGGTCCTTTTTTTTTTCTTTTTCCTTTTTAAATAGATGGAGAACGTGTGGGTTTTCTTTGTCTTGGTGTATGCGTGTGAGAGATAGAGGCAAAATATGTTTGGGTCAGTTATCACGCAGGAAGCACAGCTCAGTTAGGAGGCACCGCTTCCTGAGTTCCTGCGCCAAACCACTGCCAGCATGTCTTTGCCAGCAGTGGTCCTCTCATTTTCGATTTCCTGTGATGTTTGCAGCCACTTGGCACTCAATGATTTAGGTGGGACATTAGCGAACTGGGGGATAGTTTACTCCCAAAACCAAGAGAAGTTCAAGAAGAAGTCAGCAAGGAAAAGTAGTCCTTTTTTGTTCATATGTAATATGCATCACTTGATGTTAGGGCTGGAACCAGCAGTTTAGTAACAAAAAATTAATATCACCAGTATCACTCTGTGAATTGTAAAAAAAATTTAGTACTGTGTTTTTCCTACAGTAAATCATACATGGTATGTTGTTGTGGCTTTTTAATGACTGTGCCTGAGTTCATTTCAGTTCAATTCAATCCAAGTTTATTCATATAGGAGCAAATTACAACAACAGTCACCTCAAGGCACTCTGTCCTGTAATTTAAGGACCCTACAGCATTAGAAAGAAATCCCAGCAATCATACAACCCCCTAGTGGCAAGCACTTGGCAACACTGGAAACAAAAAACTCCCTTTTGACAGGAAGAAACCTCCGGCAATGAAGGGCAGCCATCTGGAGCAACTGGATGAGGGGAAAGAGAAAAGAGAGCGCAAGAGACAGACTATGGTGGAAAGTGCCAGAGTTTAATAATATTTTAATTATTTGAGTGCATTAATTTTAGATTAAATGCACTCATCTCAGGGTGAGGAAAGAGGTGAGTGAAGAAGAAATGCTCATTACATCAAACCTGTAGGAACCACAAGTAAGCCTGCAGTGTGAGAACAGCAATAATATGATACTTTGAGGTCTGGATTTGACTGCGGTATCCTTAATTTATATTTTATTCCTTCCTAGTTAAATTTACCCTTTTTAATTTTTCATATTTATTTCCTATCTTATTCATAGCCTTTCCCTTTTTGTTTTCTTTAGGTCACGAGCAGTTGTCCAAGCATTTCACTACATATTGTACTGTGTATGACTGTGTACGTGACAAATAAAAATTTGAATATTTTTTTTTTTTGAATTTTTATTATAGTGTTACGTCTTGGCAAAGTTACCAATACAAATTTTGTTATCAGATAGTTTTTTATGCAAACACAATTGCAATAGCATTAAGCCTCATTTCAATATTATCTTAGAAGCTTGCTGTGTCTTTGATCACTAAGCCATCTAATGGTTGCATAGCATGTGCTGTTGACTTGTAAGATGACTAAATTAACAATTACTTTGAACAGACATTTGTAGCACTCGGTGCTATAATTTTAAACTGTAAATTAGCAGAATAACAGAGTAACAGTCTAAAATAATGCCATTTATAAATAACATTTCCATTGTGTTTAATATCATTTTAAGCAGAATAAATAGAGTTTAATGTCCTATTATGACATATATTAGTAATATAGTTGATGTAAGTTAATGTTTTTTTGATAATGGACATTTTAGTATGCAATGTAGTTAATGGCGAGTTGAATTAGTCATTCTCTAACATATTTCAAGATGGTTTTATTTTCAAATTATTATTACTATGATTAGTTTTTTTACATTTTTTTTTTGCCTTTTGTAGCCAAGCTAAACTGCATAATGAACATAACTAATGGCTTTTTTGTACGTCCTAACCTGCAAGTCTGCTCTGGTTATACAGCATGGCAAGTTGCCATGCTTGCGTAGTTCCAGTGAATACAAGTGCAAAGTACAAAACATGAAGACTGCAGCTTGCATTTTCTGTTCTATTGAAGTAAACAAGGCGGTGAAGTTTCACTCGTCACACCCCAACAGAACACATTAATAGAAACATTTGTCCCTTCCTCTCTTTATTTTTTTTTTTAGTAGTAGCCACCAGGGCCTTGCCTTTGTGCTGCCACATGTATACGTTCATTGTTACCGTGCCCTGCAGCCTGCAGTCTCTCACAGTATGTGGTGTTCATCAGCACTCTGGTCACATAGGTTTGTCTCTGTGGCCTCTGCACTGGGATCTGAGTCTGTGAAGTGGCTGCCAGGCCCCTAAGGACACTGATAAGCCCCCCATAACATTCATTCCCCAGTTTGCGTGTGTGTGCGCATGAGAGAGAGTCAGAGACTGAGATAGAAAGCGTGCGGGTGTGTTTGACAGAAAGGAGCAGTGTTATATAAATGTGTGTGCTTGAACTAGGCCAGGCTGATAACAGCATGGTAAGAGAGGCAGCAGCTGATAAGCCCCTCTTGTTGCTTGGGGTAACCAGGCCTTGTTAAATGAACGCAGTAAAATATGGTCTGCCAGAGAACAGCAGAGGTGGTCGCAATACTGTTTTTACAACCTCCCTCGCGTGCAAACGTGAGTGGTTTAGCCGTCACTGAAAGTAAATCATTGGAAAGGTCTTTCTTTCTTTCTTTCTTTCTTTCTTTCTTTCTTTCTTTCTTTCTTTCTTTTAATCTACATTTTCTGGCACAGCATTTATAGAGAGTCAAACAGCCGCGCTCAAAACCCTACACTCTCTGAAAAGTACTTTCACTTTCTCTTCAGCACATGTCATGCAGCATACAGTCATACACCCAAACGTCTTCTAACATTTTCTTTTGTTATATTTAGTTCTTTTTTTCTTTTGGTCTTTTTTCTGTGTCTCCTTTCTATACTATACAGAGTAGTAGGCCTGTTGTATGGAATAAGAAGCAGTCTGCTTACCTTTGTGTTTACAGCTCGTGCCTGTATGTGACAGAGCAGCAGCTGCCTGCAAGATCCAAGAGGGAAACGGAAATTGTTCTCATTACTTTTGGCAAACACAGAACCTTCATCTGCTTACAGGCGTGGGATCAGTTCCCTCCTGTCAGTGTCTAGCCACCAGAGAGAGTGCGTCACGCAGACATGAGATCACAGATCAGCGTAGATCATGGTGATTTTTTTTCTTCTTCTTTTTCTAGTCGTTGTCAGTTCACGCTTCCTCTTTTCTTTTTTCCAGAGAACTGAGCACCCTC